GGAGATATCAGAGAGTCAGGCGTCGATTAAGCTTTTTTTTCAGATAGAGTGACATCAGGTGTACCATCTCACACGACAGGGGTCGAACCTTAAACGACCGGAAAGCTGCAGGTAATGAAATGCGAAACATCCATCAGAGCTTTCACAGGCAGTCCGATCCGGCGAAGTTGGAAGATGCTCAGCATTCCGTGATGGTTGATCCGAACTTAGCACATACAGGAAACAAGAAGCTTAGCAGTTTCTCTATAGCCGATTGCGTTTTTATGCTAAGTACTCAGTTTCCGGTAAGGGCAGCTCTAGGTAGTTCATTTGAACCAGTTTTGATTGACGCGGCGATCAACCTCCTCCCCCATCGGTTAATTGCGCCCGATAGATTGATTGCTTAGGAAATCTCGCCTAGGCAGTCGGCTGACCGTAGCAGAATTGGGAAATTTAATAGGCTGGGTGGGTAACTTGACCCATCTTGATTAAACCCACGGTTCCCGGTGGGGCCTTGTAATTTAGGTAGCTAGAGCGTCGGCTATACTGAAGCCTTCCCCTTGCTGTCGTAAGTTCCAATCCTACCGAGGCCATTGAATGTTTCACAACTGAGAAAATAGATTGTTAAACTCTACCAAAGCTCCCTAATAATTAATATTTGAGATGAAATCCATAAGCTTTAGTGCGATATGCGCATATTATTTATGAAGTGGCATAAGTGGCCACACTGACAGCCCAGATCTTAACTGAAAGCCGATATTTGTCGCTGCAGGGCACAGCTGTAAGGAGTTCGGTCAATAAAAGCCTATAAATCTCCATTGCGACTGATTTACTCCGCAATCGACTGAAATCGCACAGAATACTGTGTAAAGTCTGGCCCAATCGCACACATCTTGATAAATAAGGCCTTTATCCTCCGAGGTACATTTGGTCTGGACTCTGGTCCTCAACCATTTGCTGTGTGGGCTAGCCGACACGTGATTAATCAACTAACTAGAAAACACACAATTTTAATTGAAAGACGGCTGCACGGGTGGATTGTTGAAGGACAGTACTGCGTACCAGATGCAAGCACAAAGATAAGCGGAAGATGTGTTTGCGATTCTTCTCTTTGTTGCAAAGGAATCAGATTATCAACCCTGTCCAGGTGGTGCGGCTATAAAGCAACGGGCAAATCCAAACAAAAGCTATGGTTACCTCTCTGATATATATGAGACAAATCCATTGGGATTGCAGTATATAAACTTAGTCCACTTGCAGGCTGGACTACGGGGCAATCCTTTTCTTCCGAAGACCTTCAACTAGAGTTTTAGCGGATGAAGGTGTAAATTCGTGCGAAGGCATTTTATCCATTATTTTGCATCAGACCTACACAGGAACTTAAGTAGCGTGCGATGAGGGAAGGAATCCTGAAACTAGTTCATGAACAGCAGTCTTGGTGAAGAAAGTTGAGGTCGTTCGGCCATTTCAGCAATAACAGATATTCCTAGTCTAGTTCTGGTAGCTCAGTGAAATATGTGTATATTTCATTGCTGTAGCATGACGTGGAAGAAAGCAGATAAGATCAGGTGCAACTCAATGTGGGCCAGGGCAGCTTGAGGACTAGAAAGTACGCCTTCTCCACTTACATAGGTATCATCTCAGATCCCCAGCCGGTGGTCACAATAAGAAAACAGAAACAATGGTCCGAAGCTCAAATAGCAGATTGACGATCCTTAAAACTCTGAAGAATGGTTTCTCAAACAGCAACCTTGCTATTCAAGTTTAGTACGGTAACTGCAGGCTTCGCTGTGCGTAAGTGATTTAGTAGCTAGCTGCCGGTAGCATAAAGGTTCGATTGACTCGATTCGTGCTGATTGGCTAGGTGGTCAACGACATTTCTAACTCAGAGGGGGCCAGTATTACTGACGTCCGCTCAAACGCGCATGTAAATTGTGGTTTATAAACCGCAGGAGCACCTCTACGACAGTTACTTTTTATGAAGGCTTACTGAGTTATTAGAAAGTCGGGCAGATGTACGGCAGGGAGAAGCTTCCACGAACACACTTGAAAAAAAAACTCACAAAAGCCACCCCTGGGCCTGTGCTTCTGATCATGGCAGACCAGGACGAGAACGTGTTGCTTTTTTCTACACATATGCGCACACCCATACATTGACACACTTGTGAGCCAGACATTCGATATGCAGATGCAAATCGTGGCAGCCCTGCGGCGGATCTTGTGCAGAAAACATTTTTTAGGAGCTCAAGCTCATAAACCTTAGAGTTGGAAAGGCAGATCCTTTTTTCGAAATTGATGCCGCAAACGCATAACCTCGAATGAATCCGAATAAGGGACTTAACTTGGTTAAGTCTCAGTTTCACCTGAGAACAGTGTACTAATTGCAGAAGTTCCCAGCAAAACACTGTAAATACTTCAAAGGCAACCGTCATTTTAATTTTTGCAAAAGCCGTCCGTGCTCCAGTGCATTTATTGTACAGCATAAAGCAGGTGGAGTTCTTAGAAATGAA